CATTTTTTTTTTTGGAATACCGTAAATCAGAAATACAGTAACCATATATTGAATATTAATGGAATCGAATAATATCATATGGATAGCTGTAATTCTAGGAATAGAACTGATTAGTTCAAGTTCTTAATTACAATTACTTTTTTGATAGTAATTTGCAGTAAAAAATATAAGAACTAAGAAAAGTGTCATTTTTTTTCTGGAATATCGTGTCGAATCTTAATGAATTGCCTTCAATTAATGATACGAAATCTACTGAAATCTATTGTAGGCGAGAAATTTGAGGAAATCCTAATAAGCATATATCGAACATTCTGGATCGTAATGTTTTATGGTATGTTACAAATAACATGAATAACATGAGCTTTTTTTTTTGTAACACTCATGTCATGTTCCTTGTTTATCGGATTGAAATATGAAGATAAATATGTGACTGCCCGCGGGCAATATCGACAGGTAAGTCTGGACCCAAATTTAGCCAGACAGAACCTGCTGATATTGGCCTTGGACAATCAAAGTCTGAAAAAAAAAGGAAACAGAAGCTTTCAAAAATGAGAATTGAATTGTCATGGCTACTAATTTTTTAATGCATGTAATGCTTACATAGTTCATTGATACTGCTCTCTTATAATTAATATTGAAAAGCGATGAATAATTTTAAATGGACAATAACAACTCATTTAGCGCTTCCAAGTTGCGTTGGTTCATGAATTTCATTCAAATTCTTTTGCTGATTTCAAAAAAAAAAAAGGATTTAAAAAAAAAGCAGAAAAAAAAGAAATGGATCATTGCTGCTGTTTGATCATGATGGATCTTCTTGTTCAGAAGAAAATTGAAATGTTTCCTATCTTCATTTTGATAATACACATCGCTATTTTCTTTTTTTCCTTTATGAAGCAAATTTTTTGATGAAATAAAAAATTTCACACTTATAAAGTATGATGAATTTCAAAATTATCTAAGTGAAATTAGTAATGATATACAATTCATGCCCTTCTCTTTCCAGAATATTAAAATTTCAAAAAAGCAATCGAAAACTTTGCAGTCTGATCTGTAACATTTCCTGCATTGTAAAAAATATTTCATTTTTGAACAAATATTTCATTATTTCTTTAAAAGAAAACATGATCATTACCTGTAAATGAAAAGGTGCTGTACTGTACCGTATATAAAAATCACTGGGCGCCAGTTTGTTAATTGATATCATTATTATCCGCAAAATTCAAATAGTTTTCGTGGTTAATCTTAATTGCGGATTGTGTTCAATTCCATAATTGATGTTTTTACTTAGGGATTTTGTAGTCAGTAAAAGACTGACATCATAATCTGGAAAACATCCAGCAATTGTGGAAATCGTGTAAATTTGAATTTAATATCTGCTATTTTAGGATTTGAATTAATTTAAGGTAAGCTTTTTGAGTTTTAGGATGAAAAAGAAATGAGATTCAAGCTATACATTGATAAGCCTATAATTCTTCGCACTAATTTCAATAGAATTTAGCTTGAGTACAATAGCATTCATTTAGCTATTGTAATGATATCCTAACAGATTTTGCAACATCCACTCATCAATAAATATTAGCTTTAATCTCAACTATCGCTATCTGTATTTTACTAGTGGAGGCCAATTTCTAATTTATCATTTAACAAGATTTTCGAAATTTACTGTACGATAGAATTGTCCGTAAAGTTATTAAAACGCTGAAATTGGTAGAAAATTTCTGACAAAAATATGATGAAAACTAGCAGTTCGTTTGATCATCAAGAACTGTATTATTCGAAATGATGATGCCGTGATTGGTCCTATCCTTTATCTTCATTTCGTTGTAGTTTTTTTTTTTTCTATCTCCCTTCCTATCTCTCTTTGCGATGTTTTAAAACACCAATGAAATGAATCACGGAGCTTTTTTTTTCATTTTAAGAGAAAAATATCAAAGAAAAAAATGAGGGTAAAGCATGTATGGTTGCTGTTAGCTTTATGCCTATCAGATGGTTCAATCTCATACTAAGCAAAATTATCTTGACATTCCACGATTCGTTCTCATTCCTTTCTCTTTCTCTCATACATGTATTCTAGTTTAATTTTACAACAATTTTATACATACAAATGAATGCTAACAACAAAGAGAAATAAAAGCAATGTTACTTATCTTAAATGAAATATATAAATGAGGTAAAGTATATATTATCTAGGAGTTCATTTATGTTATAATACTATTTAAATTTAAAAAGATAAGTCTAAACATACTTATCTCTTAAATTGCTTTCATAATTTTTTCTTTTTAATTTGAAATGATTTATAGATGCAATACATCTACAAAATTGTCTGATTTCCTAACTTTTCTGCTTCGATTTTCTTGATAATAATAAAAGTACAAAAAATGAAAGACTATTTGATGAAATCATCATTCTTCGATAATATTAGAAGACTAGTGTATTGCGGTAAACTGCAGTTTTTTTGAAAGTAAATTGAATTGCATGAAGTTTGTTTATATTTCCATCCTTAACAAATTCTTATCGTACAAATTTAGAATCGACTTGGCAATGACTTCATGCGTATTCTGCATATATCCACCACTAAGTAGCATTACAACTGGAATATGCCTGTTACGAGCCATTTTGAAAACAATTTCATCACGCTTTCGAATTCCCTAAAATTACTCTAACAAGAAATGATTCTGATCCTGGAAATCCACTGCCATCATAGAAAAAAAATACTTTGGCCTAAACTTTAGCAATACTTTCAATTTCCAAATTGCTCCTATTTAATACAACGAATATTTCAAAACTTTGAGACAAATACAACCTTTGAGGATATCGACAATAACCCAAGTGGATCACCTCGAAGACAGTCAGTTCCCGCATTGTATAGGATTATATCAGGTCGAAATTCGCTCAAACCATCTTCAAGATTACTCGAAAGCAAGGAAAGATATTCTCCATCTTGAATACCAATACGAAGATGAACTGATCTTCTTATAGCATCTAAAGAATAAGCATAAGTTTGAAACTATTAAAAAATGTGACAAGTATATAAAAAAAAGACAAGTATATAAATATAAAAAGAAATTAACAACTGTTGTCCAACATTCTTGATTTAAAGACAACAATCAATAAAAGTTGACATTTAACCTTCACATAATATACTTTCCCACAAAGACCTCTTCTATGTCAATGTCCAGTAAAAAATCTACTCCCATACATTAAATCTCAAGACTGTATCTCTGATTCCACGAATATATTACTTTTTAATTTTATAGCAAAATGAGAAGAACAAAGATTTTACGTCTTGCTCTCATATCTTGTGGATAAATGCAACTATTGAACATATCCAGTATATACACTCGGCTGTCTCCGCAAAAATCATTTTCATGACCATTACCCTGAAAGAACCATTTGATCAGTAAGGAAAAGATAGAACTGGAGTTCAGTAGAAATTAAAAATACATTAAATCGAACAGTATATAAGATAGAGTGCAAAAAAATAGTAATGGTAAGATATAAAGATGCAGTTAAAGCACATATGAAATAACCTGATGAGCATCTAAATCAACAATCATTGCTTTTGAAATCAACTGATTGATGAATAAGAATGTTAGTGCCAAAGTGATATCAGCATAAATACAAAACCCGCCACCTCTTGAACGGCTTGCATGATGGAAACCACCACCAATATTTATAGCCCAACCGGATGTTAGTGCAAGCTTGGCTGCTAATATTGTGCCGCCTTCAATGATAAGTAAAATGTACATTTGTTCATTTATGCCATTTCAAAGAGTGCAGCATTAAAACAATGTGTATTTTTTAATAAATACGCACCAATGTATTAATGCATTTCGTGCATAATCTGTATAAACGTGCACTGAAACGAATCAACATATTATTATGCGCTTATCAAACTTACCGGTATGATATCGGAATGGCTTCAGGAGGACTTTGTCGATAATACATAGGGGTATCAGTGCAACGGGTGTAACTTCAACCATCTTCGCAACATAACATGGACAATGTAATGATGAGAGATAGGTTGATGAATGCACAACACGCAGATCGTCCATGTTTGCTTCCGATGGTCTTATGATTTGCCTTTCTTCAAACATTCCTGATTCTGAAATGAAAGGAGAAAAAAAAACGACAAAGTTTATTCACCCCAGAAAACACAAATCAAAGCAATGGAAATTATTTTAAAACATTAATCATTTAGTGTTTAACTGTTTTTAAGATAAAACAAAAAATTTCAACTTGGATTTTGGATTTTTTCCTAAACTTAAGGGGCTAGAAACTTACGTAACAGTGTCTCATAAACACGTCCCCATTTATGTGAATCAAATGGATGGCATCGTTCGATTCCACAAAATGATATATTATAAATTGGATGATATACAATTGGCAATTGATCTCCTTCAATTTCTCTGTACAATTTTGATGCTTTCACAGCGGCTAATTGTCTGCTTAAAGAGGAAAAACTAAGTAATCAATCAACCGTTCTAAGTTTAGATTTAAAAAAAAATACACTTTTTATACTCTTCAATTATTGCTAGTATCATCAACCATGCAATCAATCAATAAAATACGTTCAAGTAACGATAGAACTACATATCAGACGATGATTATGTAATTACCTATTTAAAAAAAGAATCACCAATGATCAATTCATAATGATACGAAATGAAATTAGTTGATCATCTTCTATCATTAAACAAACCTGTTTGCCAGTGGTTTTTCGATGAAAATTCGATCGCTATTATCAATAAATCTTTCTTCAGCCATATTAGATCAATATATTAATTAAATCAGTATATCAATGACTGCAAATTAAACCGGAATTCAAGTAATACGAAAAGAAGACACATTTGAGCTCCAGACTTCAAATACATTTGAAAATCAGAATTATTCCTGGAAAAATGTGACCTCCTTTTTTTTAAAGTCCTTTCATTTTCTAAATAATAAAAGGTGGATGAACTCTTATTTACTGCTTATTTATCAAAATTACAATGATGAAAATTATAATTTCATCAAAATTAGCCAAAAAGAATGAATTGAACATCCAATATTTCTTCACCATTAATTTCAGCAACCGAAAACACTCCTATAAAGTAATAACAATGAAATATAACAAGCAAAATGCTGCAAACAGAATAAGTTAAATCGCGAAGCATTGCGAAAATAGCAAAGAGAGGGTGAAGTAAAAAAATATTAGCAAATAAAAAGTGGAAGAAATAGCATGCAAATTTCCGATACACCAAAGATTGATGAGATTTTGGAAAAATATTGATGCAAAGATTGAGAAAAGCATGTAATATTAGAAAATAATATTACATTTTATTACATTTTTTTTTTATTACATTTTTTTTGTTACATTTTTTTTAGTAAATTTTTTTTATTACATTTTTTTTTTCTCATAGAGAAAGAGATAGCATGAGAGCATTAACTGATAAACAACAGAAAATAATGGAGGTGCTGATTTGCTAACAAACAACCAATAGGGAAAGATTTAAGTAGCTAATTGATAAACAGATTAGATCAACTTGTGAGGCCTTCCGCTTTTCTCGACAAATTGCTTTGTAGTTAGGAGATGATGAGCTGGAAGGAGGTGTGATAGTTTTTACTCCTAAACAAATCTTATTTTTAGTTCTTTAATCAAATTCAACGAACATTTCCAGATGCTGATCAGGTATCGATTAAACTGAAAGTTTGCATCATTCAAATTTAATCATTTTCCAAAGATAAATGTATTTACATATGGATATTTCGAATAATTCTGTCTTCATCTTCATTTAAATTTCAGATTTTTTTCATGCATAAAAATGATAATTTAAGGTCGACTGGTTATACTGTTTTCTAACATGATCAGGTTCCAATCATTACAAAAGTTTGAGATTTGGGATATGCACATTTTGGTAAATTACTAAAATGGCAATAATCTGAGCGCTAAAAATGGGACAGTAAAATTCACTTTATCTCATCTTTCCCGTTTTAATTCTCTTCTCTTTCTACTTATCGATTTTGTGATCTGTTCCATAATGCGCGATTTCATAATTTTTTTGTTAGCCAAAAATGAAGTCCAACAATATTTTTTTTTTTTAGTTTATTCACTAGTAAAATTTTCCTTCTATTGATTCCTATATTTTCAGCTAATTAGTTGATTTTATATATAGATTTTATGCTTTTCATTTTTTGAATAACATATATTTCTCATTTAATTACAATTTTTTATCAGATTTAATTCCAATTTTGTTATTTTTACCATAAGTTATTTTCACCGTCTTATTTATTCCTGCGGTTAATACTCAGCTCAGAGGTGTCCATTTCGTCTTGTTGTCCGTACGTGTATTGGACACTCTCACTGTCTGTCTGATGTAGGAAATGGAAAACATCACTGAAATTAGCCATTGGTTATAGTTTAGTCACTCTTATGATGCCGCTGTTGTTATTGTTGTTGCATTTTCAGCTTCCTACGCAATCGATGATTCTTCGTCTCTTTAATTTCACACATTTATCATCGAATAATGTGCGTTAGTGATATGTATTTCTCACAATATTTAGTTACAAAATATTAAATTCCTTTTAATATCCGTTTAGAAGCTGTCTGAAAGCTGAAGGCGTTAAAAATTGGTCGCGGATTGCTCTAAGGTATGGTAGGTATCGGTGAGAAGCAACATGCTGTCAGTGGCTTTTTTCGTCGTAAAGAGTTTGGAAAAAATGTGCACAATTCATGGGAATTCCCATTTCTTGATCTTCCCAATAGAAATATCTATCAGAAGGACGTGAAAGGTCATTATGGTTGTGTAAATGCTATTGAAGCATCAACAGATGAAAATTTCTTAGCTAGTGGTAGGTTGACTGTTTTTGGTTTCCATTTTATTATTGCTTGTAAAAAAGATAAAAAGAAATTAAAGAAACAAAAGGTGCGGTTATCATTATGAGCTTTCATGTAATTCATATTGCTGTAAGTTAATTCCCGTTGAATGATATGAGCTATCTTTTTACGGTGTTTTTCATCTTACATTATTTATTGCTATGTAGTAAAATAGTTTCAGATAATAAAGATTTTTTTTTTTAAAGATCGTAATTCTTTTTAAGTTTCTTATTAACATCTTATTTATATTGTTATGGAAAAATTAGTTCCACATTAGGGAGAATGGTAATTTCTAATTAAAAGTTTTAAAATAAATATTGTTATAGGTGGCGATGATCGACGTGTGTTGATGTGGAAACTTAACGATGTGCAAGTAATGGAAAATCCGAAGCCTATAACTGTTATGAGACAAATGCATTATTCTAACATATTTTCGGTTGGATTTTCCAACAAGTTTGTTTTTGGATTACACTTTTTTTTAAGAGTTTAAAGATTTTTTTCCGATCCCTGACTTGTTTAGGTATTACTGCACGCCATGCTAAAGTAGTTTAATACTAAACTATATGTGACGTGAATGTTATTCACGGCATTTTTCAGATGTGAAAGACTTTATTCAGCTGGGAATGATTCGTTTTTGTTCGTTCATGATATTGCAACTACCAGTGTGTTGCATCGTTTTAAAGCTGACGAGCCTATTTATAATGTGGCTATAAATGTAAGATCATATAATTAAGATGAGCTAAACTTGCTCAGATATGCTTGACATGTCAAAAGAATGAAAAGACTTCATATTGTGTATTAGATATGATAGTTCAAAAATTGAATCACTAGAACCAGTAGATTTTCACCACACATATTTTGAGTCTCAATTGCACTGTTTTGCACATTCTAGTAATGATAAATCGGCTAATCAATTGATTTAGTCTACAACATAAATATCCCATAAATATGGGATGATTGTCAAAACCAATCTCTCAGACATCACAGTATGCTCCGACTCTTATAGCATGTTTTTTTCTAGCCCAAGGATGATGCAGTGATAATGTCTGCCTCAGAAGATGGAAAAGTTCGTTTATATGATTTGCGAGGGAGTGAAGAAACTCTTGCCGTTGAAAGTTCAGGTATATTTTGTTGTCAGTTTTTTGGAGGTTATATTTAACAGAATTGAATTGAATTAGTTTTTAATAATAAATCAGACATTCAGGAACGATGTATTGTGCTCAGTTCAATCCCCGACAGGTGCACATTATATCGGTCTGTAATGGGCGTGATGGCTTATCACTGCATGACATCCGTAAACTTGAGAGGTTAGAGATTTCATGGTTCTTTCAGTTTGAAGCTACTCTTTAATTTTGTGAAATGGTATTTTTAAATAAAAAATTATAAAATAATGGATTACAACGGCTTACTAGAAAGTTGATGAAAGGAATTTTTTAGTGATACAGACATGCTTTAGATACTCTTAATAAAAGGAAGATACAAATATTTTTTGAAGAATAAATCATCCTAAAATCCTTTACGGTTTGTCAATTGTTTGAAAAGGAATTTTACCGAAGCCAAATGCACTGTAATATTTATTTACCTAAAAGTAGTAAAATGTTTAAAAATTTTTGAAAATTTCAGCCCTTGTTTCCAGTTTGATCAGTTAACTAGAGCACGAGTTAATTTAAATATTAGTTCTGTTATGTATGGTCAGTGGAGTGACGATGGGGAAGCTATTTTTGCCACGCGTAGTCGTACCTCACCTATATTATATGACGTATGTTTTATTAAAATATCATTGTTTACACTAAAATTTTTTGTGATTATGTTGAATTGTAGAATAATAAATTGGAACTTAGCTAATTTGGTCAAGGTAAATATTTAGTTAATCACTATTTAATCTAGAATAAGTCAAATAGAGCTACAGCAATGGGAATACTATTAGCTGGATTTCTTTAAATGCTTCATGCATATTCTTATAATTTATGTAATCAAACCAAAATGTGACACTAGAAATAAAATCAAAATTAGAAAGATATCTTTTAAATTCAAGGTCAGTGTTAATTATTGTTGGATAACAATCTTAGTCCTTTTCAAGTAAATGTGGTTGGACAATGAGGTGTTTTTATTCTTAAATATGATTTCTATTTCAGTTAGCTTTGATCTGCAGTCTACATAATTTTCGTTAAACATATTTAAGTTGAATGGTGGTGGCAGTGTGGAATTCAACGACTCTAATTATCTAAATTCCTGTACAGTTAAATCGTGTTCATTTATAAGTCGTGATCTTGTAATGACTGGCTCCGACGACTGGAATATATATATCTGGAAAGTGCCTGAAGACCGAGAAACCGTTGGTAAAAGTGTTTTTCTTCTGAAAGTATTTAATGTGGCACAATATTATATGGACAATGATTTGGTATAAAAGAAATTTAGTTTTTTCTGAAAACATAGTATACACATTATTACGTGATTGCTTATTTGAACTGATTCATGCATCCTATAATTTTTTTTAGGACAGACTGTGGATAAGGCATATCGGATTTTAGAAGGTCATCGGTCAATTGTTAATCATGCCCGCTACAGTTCTTTGAACAGGCTTTTGTTTTCATCAGGAGTTGAAAAGATTATCAAGGTAATCACTGAAATATTTCTCTTCCAAGTTTTTCTCAATAATTCCTTTTTTTTTCAACAATTTTCCTCAACAACCTCTTTTTTCTTAACAATTTCTCAATTATTATACAATTTATTCCTCCGTTATAATTTGGTAACAATTTGATATCACATATTTCGCTGATATGTGCAGTCGCGTTAATGTCTGAGAAAAAAGCTATGCTGTATGATCAGATAGTTGCAATATTACAAACTGTAGTTTCTTGAATTCGACATGATGTTTAGTTTTATTCAGTTGTGGAGCGCATGGGATGGA